CTTTTTTACCGAATTGTTAAAACTCGTATATCTCTACAAACTCATTTCTGAATATGATTTTTCCAAAAGGATTGACTGTCGTTAAACTAACAACGATTCAGAAAGATTCAGAAAGAGCTTATTTAGAAGAAAGTTTATCAATCGTAAATCTATAGCCAATTATTATAAGAAAAAAAATACGAATATGTTGATGAGGAAAAAGAATACGAAGAGGTAATTCTATTCTGTGATATCGTATGTAAGTGCACTGTCCTCTTGTTGAAAAAGTATGCGTGTATATATATATATATATATATATATATATATACACACACAACGGGATTTTGCAAAAGGTTTTTTCTAGCCATGGTTCGGCACTGTTGGCGGACGCTGACGCGGCTGATTGACGCTAATGGCGCTATCGTCAGTCAGCCGAGCGACCGGAACGACTATGGAACCGATCGCGCATCTTGTCAAAGTGTCCGTCCCGAACTATCTGGCCAGCCTACCGATTCCTGATTCGATAGGCGGATGGTTCCGACTGGGAGGTAATTTTCGCTATAAATTTTCATATCTTGCAGCAACAATTATACCTCGACATATCATTTTCCAGACTCCGACATAACCTCTCGATTTAAAGACGTGTATAATTTTTTTTAATTTAACTTCTTTTACTTCTTTTTTTTTCTTGATACCAGTGAGGGACTGGTTCGCCCTTCTGCCACCTACTGCCCTTCTCGCGGGTTTGGGATATATGTCCTACAGGGCATTTTGTCCTCACGGCAGACCTACGGTACGTCTTTTATATCTGCTTCTTGTAGAAAGTATCAAGGACAGCACAAGAATTAGTTATGATATTACTAGAAAAGTTATGTAATTTTCAGATAATGCCTTTTCCAAATATTAACTCGCCATAAATTTGTTGCAAACTAGATGGAATAAGTTCAACTTTGTAATTATGTTCTTAATTGTGTTCTTTATTTCTTGTGTATATTTATTTCTTATCTATATATATTTGAGTAATAATATAGAATATCCTCTCTCTCTCTCTCAATATATACAAATATGTTATATACTATATATATATATATATAATATATATATACGCTATATACTATATACACACACACACACACAGGGTGAGTCACTTAAGACCGGCCATCCGAATAACGCCCACAATTTTGAAGATAGAAAAAAATGAAAATTTCAAATGAGAAATGGAACGGTTTCAAGGGAGATGTGTTTTGGGCGTGTTGTCTTTCTTCTAGGTGGAAGCGCCAAAAAGATTTGAAGGTCATCTCCATTTTTTTAAATGGAATCGTATAATTTTTTTTACACAATATGATTCCT